TTTTCACTTCCCTATTTACAAGGATTGATAGGCACATTCCTAATTGATTCAGAGGATCCATTTACTGTTTTGGCATTTATGCAGCTTGAGAAGGAGATTATAAGCTGAGAAGGTGAATAGTGTCCTTTGCTCTTGTCTATAAGTGACAAAACAGTGGATGCAATGTGTCTTGAGGTGAGGCCAGCCTCTTCAATCTGATCTGCTTGTGCTCCGTGGTCAATGTACCTATCTGGAAGAATCATAGCCCTCCACTGCATCACCAAAAGAAAAATTCAGTAACTATCAATTACCTCAAAACTGTCCTTGCGAAGTAAATTGGCAGTAAATTAGATTCACGATAACTATTTGGGAACTTGTAATTTGTTCTCTTAGTTTTCAGTTTTTCGGCAGTTAAGTCCTCAGGCTAATAAAATTGAATCAATCTCACTTTGACCAGAACCCTACTAAAAAATGAACACGGAAAAAGGGGGAAAATCGATCACGTAGCTTGTCGCCCGAGTTCTCACATGCTTTAGATGAGTAGAAAAAGACCAATATTTTCTTATCATGGATTAGAATGAAGACTGAGGAAGAAACAATCAAAAAGCTTGAAATTTGCCACCAGCCAAACCCTCATTGGAGCTGTAGTTCATTGCAAAAGTTAAAAATCAAGAGACAGAGAACGTCAATATAATTTTACCCATAATTTTTTTCCCGATTACGAGAATTGATATTACCTTGAGTTTTCCATCCAGTAAACCATTCAAGCCCAAGAAGTGGAAACATGAGAGCTGAACCCTCCGATGGACCCTTCTTCGACGGTGATGAGGACCTCGTGCTCTGAGCAAGCCGCCTGATCAAGTTCCCATCAAGAGGTTTACAGAATCGAGCATCAGCAACCCGTGGGGGAGACCCCCAGAACTTGAAGAAGATGGCCTGCCTCTAGACAGTTCTGGACAATCGTTCCATATCCGAGGATGGCCACCCTACTCCCCTCCATTAAGACTTCCCTCTGCCAACCTTTTTATCCAAATATAAAATTAAATAATAAACAAGTTAGCCAAAAAATAAAAAGTAAAAAAAGTCCAGAATGAACCTCAAATCTATTGGGGCTTATCTGCTGTAAAAGGGAAGCAATAACAGGTGAAATATATAACAACTTGGGACAAAAGCAGTGCCGAGTTGTTACACTGTGGCCTGATAGTTTTATCTATATTTTATTTTACTCCTTATAGTTTCACTTATAATATATGATATCCCTATGCCAGTATCTTTCAGAAAAAATCTCAAATTTCTTCTCTCAATTGGTTTGCAAATCCAATTTTTTAAAATTTTTTCCCTCATCACGATCAGAAAATTTAAAAATAATATTTTTACTAATTTTAAAAACGTCCACTGTCTTCTCTCCGCACGTGTAGAAGTCAGTGTTTTCCATGGAAAAAAATCGAGATATGTGTTATCCTGTTGAAATAATAAGAATAAATGTGTTAGAATTAAAATTAGATCAAATGAAATTTAGACAAAACTAGGGAAATTAAATATATAAAAATATATATATATATAATTTACCCTTTTTATTACTTTATTCGAGCCTGAGGGCCTTTTTTTAACATAAATTAATACAAACACAATATAACTTTACTTATAGATATACCTCGAGGGTTCCCTTTGTTGTTTGAAGGTAAAATGGAGCCAACCCCATTTCCTCTTGGGTACCGGAAGCAACTCGGACGATCGTCGATGGCGGCGGCAGTGGCGACCATGTGCATGAGCCTCAGCTTCGCAGGAAGGAGCCATGACCACCATGTTTGGCAAACAAGCCAGGAGGTCGTGTCAAAAGCCCCGCAGTGAGTTGGGCCATCTGCACCCACAAGCCCAGCCCTGTCCAAGGCAAACCTCACGGAAGCTTTTGGAGATCCACATCGTGAACCACCTACACCATTACATTTGATGATTTGAAACTTTCCATTTTCTAAAATACTACAAATGATAGACTAAAGTTTACACCATTAAAAACTTGGAACCCAACAAGAACAGGATCCGGTACAAATGGATTTGCAGTCGGGTCATTTTGGCAAATTCAATATTATATACTAAGTCATCTTATTAAAAATGACGCTTTGCCTTGTTGCAGGTCATCTCTAGCTACTCTTGTTGACTCAACCTAACACTAAAGAGAGTTTCAGATTCGGGTCAAAAGTTAGGGTTGACTCATAAAACAGCAATTTACCAAATCTAATTGCTTAGAGAAAGGATTGAAACAGTTTAGTCTATTTACCTGATCATAACCTCTTTGCAGAAAAGAAGAGTAGATGGCACAGAAGGGTTTGAGACCCTCGGTAGCTAAGCCGGCAGCAAAGGTGACCGCGTGTGTTGTTCGGCAATTCCAACATCGAAACACCTGTCTGGAAAGTGTTTTTGAAAATAATTCAGGCCAAGCCTCCGCCCATGGCTGCATGAATGGCCACTATCTTCTTATCTCTCTCCGCCTCTGCAACTAAGGACTCTGCAAAGTACTGTGTGTATGAACTGGTCTTTGATTTGGCCTTCAGTTGCTTCCTGACTTGGGATTAAACTTCACAACCCTATAAAACCATCTTCATTAGTAATAAGTGTTTTAAATCTAATACAATAGCGTAACCAAGAAGGCAAAACCAAAAAACAAAAAGTTGGGTACTTAAAAGTTGTTTTAAGTAAAACACAAACAAAATTCAAGAAATATTTGAAGCAGTGTGCATATAAACACAATTCAAGAAATATACATATGGGCTTTTATATGTATATGTATGTACCATGCATCTTGTCCGGTGCAACTTCGGCGGGAGCATAGCCTTTTCCTTTCTCTGTAATTACATGGATGAGAACTGGTCCTGGTGCAGGCAACTCCTTCACCTTCCTAAGGATCAGCACGAGGTCTTCCACACTGTGGCCATCCACGGGACCGATATAGTGAAGTCCCAGTTCTTCAAACAAGCAAGCCGTGGGGCCAGAAACCATCCCTCGCGTGCAGGAGTCAACTCTTGCCGCAAGTTCGTGTGCCGGCCGGCTTCCCATCTGCCTGGTGATTCCCTGTTCATGCACTAAACTTGTTCATGATCTTGTAGTGACCATGGAAAAAAATCCAATTAATTCAAATAGTAAAATACTGGTCAAAATTATTTAAAATTTAAGTTTTGACTCTCCTGCAATTTATACTCTAATATAGCAAAAATAAATAAATAACTGATGAAAGCGAGAATGAAGATTGCATACATGAAGATAATTACGGTCGCCAAAGTTTTAAGTTTGGGCTGGGCCTTGGGCCTGGGCCTATAAAAAAACCATAATTTTAATATTTTTGGTATGATTTTTTATTTTTTTTTTACAAAAATCATTTTGGCATATTGAATTTTTTTTTTTTTTATCTTATTTATCCCTTCAACTGTCTAGTATACTATTTATCCATTTGAAACTAACACTATTAAATCAACTATTATAATATTTCTCTGAACTTTTCAGTATTAAACTTTGAATTTTTTAAATATTATTATTAGAATGGTTAATTAAAAATTTTAAAATATAAGTTAATATATTATAATTAATAATAATTATAAAATTTATTTAATTTTAAATATCATTTTAAAAAACTACCAAATTTTATGAAATTAATATAAATTATTTAAGCAACCTAATTAAATAAAAAGTTGGCAACTAAAAATAAATAATTTGAAATTATTAAAAATTACTTAAGGATCGTAGTTTAAAACTTAACAATCAAATCAAATTAGGTAAGTTTGTAATTTTAGTTTGCTATATAATAACATAGAAATGCTAAAGTAAAATTCATTTTTCATAAAATATTGTAATTTAATTTTATAAAACTAAGGGTAACTTTTATTTAGTTAAATTTCACAAATAGTTTAAAAATTATTTATTATAAAATTTAGTCAATAAAATTAAATATATTTAACAATATTTACTAACAATTAAATACATTAATTAAAAATTTTAAAATTTTAATCATTAACTATTCCAATAATAATTTTGCAAAAATTCAGTATTTAATAGAACAATTTGTTGAATTGTATTAATTTTAAGAAGTAAATGGTGCACTGAATATGTTAATAGGTAAATAAGATAGAGAAAAAAATTTAAAAGACAAATATATTTTTGCTTGTTTTATTATCACTTTTGACAGAGATAGTTAAGTACTGAAATTTTAAATTTAAAAATTTAAATTGTGTGCAGTAACTAATAATAGAAGCAAACAACTATTTATTGCCATAGGTTGGCACTGAGTGTAAAAATGGATGTGTTTCATGTGCAGCACTCATTACGAGGTCAAAGGGGAAAAAAGATGGTACCATTGCGGCTTGATGAAATTCATGGAACTTTCTACTTGATTGCAATCTCGTGAGAGCTTTGCTCAGGGCACCGACTGGAGAGCTGGGCCGTCAAGGGTGGCTGTGGGGAGAGAAACTTGGGCGTTGTCGTTCAAGATGACTATGAGGTTCGAGTCAAGATAGCCAGCATTGTTTATAGCCTCGTAGGCCTGTCCAGCCGTCATGGCTCCGTCGCCGATCACCGCAACTAACATGATTCTTCTTTCCTAACAGGTCTCTACCAACAGCCATCCCTGAAATGAGGAACAAGGTAAGCCGAGAATGCTAACTACAAATGTAGGAGTGTGGCTGGAACGAGCAAGTCAATTAAATTACGATTTAATTTAGTTTAATTTAATTTATTACAAAAATTATAAATTTATTTTATTTATTTTTATAAATTATATGTCAAAATTTAAAATAAAATTATAAATTATAATTTAATTTAATTTTTAATAATTTAAAATTATAAAATATAATTTAATTTAAACTTGATTATATTAAGACAAATAGCAAATAACTCAAGTTTATTTTTATAATGACAAAGAAACAGGAATCACATGTATTTTTAGGACAAAGTTTAGGACAGACAAGGTTTGGGACTTTGATTGACAGTGACCGAAAAGAACATCACAGCCGCATGACTCGTGGAGCTATCCCATTGTGACAATATCCTTGAATTATTAACACTTCATTAAGTAGATTGTTTATCTGTTGAAGGTATTGGACAGCTCTCAATAATTGATAGTACTTAACATCAGCGGATTGTTTATCTGTTGAGGGCACTGGGATAATTCTCAATAATTGATAGTACTTAACATCGAATGTATCCAGCTGCATAATAATAGTGCATCTAAATGTCGGCAAAGATTTTTGTTATTACGATAGTCTTATGTCTAAGCATCACGTGTTAATGTTCTAAAGTATTTTATAGATAAATTACTTGTGATAATTAAAATTAATTTATTTTTGTTGTGAAGAAACTTCTTTTAACCCCAAAAAAAAAAATCTATTTGCTAAAAAGAAAAGATTGCTATAATTAATAGTTAAAACCAAAGAAAATAAAAATTTGAACCCATAAGAAAAGGAGAAGAAATTAATATATAACTTCATAGAGCATGTACCTTATATACGAGTGATCTCAAAAAGTGGCATCATGTAATTGTTCAGAACTTCAAGATTAATTAGTAAAGTAGGAAGCATTATTTATCTTATACCAACAAGTTAATTAACAAAAGCAGTAGTCAGAAAAGGAAGATTAAGTGAGGTACCTAAAGCAGCTGAAATGCTAGTAGAGCTATGTCCAGCTCCAAAAGCATCATGGGCACTCTCCTCCCTCTTGGAAAACCTGCCAGTCCAAAAGTCTGCCGAATTGTATGCATCTTTGACCTCCTCCCAGTCAGTATTTTATGCGCGTAAGTCTGCAAACCAAAAGGAAAATTGAATTCGAAAGGATTTCTAACCCCCGCAGCTAGAAGCGTATAATGTCACTCGATCCCAAGCCCTAAATACACGATTTCTCCATCTGACAGGGCTAGGGAATTCAGTCTTTGTTTTCGAAAACAATAAACTTATTTAAGTGTTGGAAGCTCCATTATCATTTAGCGAAAATAGCTTCTGAAATTTGGAAAACTACTTTTGTTGGTGCGTGGAGAAGCTTGCTCAGTGAATATTTGTGTTAGAGAACAGAGAACATAAAAGTAATTTTCAGAAACAAATCCAAATTCACAAAACCATGTAACAGTAGTTGTTAATTCACCTGATGTCCGACATCCCAGATGATTTTATCATGAGGAGTGTTGAAAACATGGTGAAGCGCAATGGTTAGCTCGATGACTCCTAGGCTCGAACTCAGATGACCTCCCGTCTTTGACACCGTATATACGATCTCCTCTCGGAGTTCATCTGCTAGTTTTTTCAGCTCCTAAGTAGAGTATATCAATTAATACGAAGCCATTTAACTTTTACCATCAAACCCGAGAGTAAGATTCTCCATCTGACAATGTCATCACCAAACAATCATAACGTTTCACTTTCAAGCAAAACTAATTTTTAAGTGTACGTACGCGCGTGCACGTGTGTACACGCGGGTGTGGTAAAAAATCAGTTAATAGTTGTATACATTTAAAATATTTATTTCAAATTTTATACTATTAATTTGATTAAATTTAATATATAAAATTAATTACAACTATTTTTTTACTATATTAATTTATAGTTATTTTTTTAAAAAATATTAATTAATATTATTTATTAATTTCAATCAGATCAATAGTATAAAATTTAATATAAATATTTTTATATTTACATTGATTTCAATTAATTTATTATATATATGTATATATATATAACTTAAGTGGTGGTTAAAGGCCTGACATGCCAACTAGGCCTCTAGGCCGCTTTAGAAAGTTATTGTATTAATGTCTGCCTATATATAGAAACTAATTAGAAAAATAGGGTAGGAATAACCTCAACAGTTGGGTCTTAGATAGACCTAATAATAAATATGTAAACTAAATAAAAATGGCAAAAAAAAAAAAAAACAAAACAAAACGTAAAGTGAGTAGTTACCTCAAGGGGGAGGTTCTTCGCGTGGATAGGGTAGTTAACTGTGTCCAAGATTGGAGTAAGAGGCTTTTCCCCTGAGAAATTGAGAGTTCTTGCCAGAACTTTGTTGTCGACTTCAAATGCTTTATTGCCCTGAAGAGATGATGTTACCCGACCAAACTAGACAGAAAAAAGGACTATTACTAGTTTTATCTTTTACAAAAATGTTTTCAAAAACACTAAACAAACAGGTTACCTGCTTTTCAAGTTTATATTAAGTCTACAAGTTATTTTTAAGTGTGGTATATTATACACTATATAAAATTACTAAAAATTATTATCAAATAATTTAAACTTAAATATTTTAAAGAATTATATATACTCAATAAGCTGTTAGGTATTAATAATTATTGCATTGTTGCAAATGGTATCAGAGCTAAAAGATCATTTGATCTGTTTTATTTATGTTAAGTTTAGATACGAATATGAATATGTTATTTGACAGGATGTTAAATATTAAGTGAGCAAAGGTGTAATATCTTGTTTTATAATAATATTTAAGTGTGACATTATACTGTACATAAAATTTTTAGAGTCACAACTGAAGAATTTTGTTAATGTTAGTAGTTAGTGAGTCCTTTTAACAAGTGACAGAGATTTGTGAATTTACCTTTGGCTTCTTGCCATTGGGAGGAGAAATGTTGCTTGCAGTTAAAAAACGGGAAAGCAAACTGTTCTTCAAAACCCCACAGGAACTCATTTCTATTTCCCTTTCTCTTGTATATATCTTAGCAGAGATCTATAAAGACAAAAAGAGATATATAGAGAGAGAGAGATTGTATGAAATGGTGTGATTATTGTGGGATACAGACTTTAGAGCGGCGGCCTTTATATAGAGAAGAAACACGCTTCCTATAGCAGGAAAACCCGAGGGAACTCTTTTTTTCTTAAAGAAAAAAAAAATGTTCAAAATATGTTTTCCCACTTGATTTCAAAACATGACAAAACTTATATGAAGTTTATCAAATAATTCTTCCTTTTTATGAAAATATAATATAATAAAGTATTAAATTATTATATGACGACATGTAAAATAACTTATAGATAAACTAACGGTCAGAAATATTCGGGTTAAAATTGAGTCATATAAAAGTATAATACAAAAATAATTAGAATCCAAAACAAATCGGATCTCAAACCCCGTGATCTTACCTATTTGTAACATCCAGTTGAACCGAAAACATATTTATCAGTCATTTAACATTGAAATTCCTATTAACTTGTTGGGTTAGTGTGATTAGCGATGATTAGTAGACTTTATTAAGAGAGTCATTTTATTTAATTCAAATAATTACCTCCTTAACTACCTAAGGTTGGCTTAGAGGTCATCAAACAAAGAGAAGGTCGTTTTTACTTGTATTAGAATATTATAATTTATAGCCTAAAAAGGAAACACATAGGAGGGGAATGAGTTTTTCTATGTTAATTTATGCTAAGCATCTTTAATCACAACAAATGGAGATGTGTTTGATCAAGAGAGCCATGTAAAACGTGTGAGTTGAAATTTGATTTACTTGTATTTTGTTGGTTTACCTCAAAGACAAAAATCCAGATAGAGACCTGTGCGGCTCATGAATTCCTTCCTCCCTTCCAATGCTGTTGGTCATGACATCCCAGCCTTTTTTCATTGCTGTTGGTGATGGGAGGACAGTGATCGAAGGGAAAATAATAAATTTTTATCACTTATTAAAAAAAAAAAAAGCAAAGTAAATCAGACAATAATACGATTAAACAAATAAACTAAGTTCCTAATTTCCAAACAAAAATCCTAAAAGAATTGAACAGATATTTATCTTGTAACGTTATTGTCTAGTTTGATTTAAAAATTTGTGAAAGCTCGTTACCACGTCTTCGATGCCTCCTAATGTTTATTTTCTACTAAACAAATATGTTAAATTATTTTAACAGAAATGGTCTATATTGGTGGGCCCCTATAAATTTTTCGTAGCAGAAAAAAATTTTATTATGTCACATGATAAATTATAATAATCATCTCCTTAGGCTCAAAATTGTCATCTATCAATTCTGTCACGTCATGAGTTCGTTTATGTGTCATGTGTTTATGGACGCTTTCCCATTGAATCCATTGAATACCCACCTAATATCACCCCCACTATCCCCATCCCCACCACCCCTCTGTGGTCCCCATCACCCCTCTCTACGAGCTTCCCTCAATTTGTCTAATTAATCTCTATTTTCTTTTCCATCATTTTCATCCATGACTATTTTTTCAATTTTTGTAATCATATAGAAAAGTTAAACTTTTAGTCTCACAATTTTTGCACTAAATTCATCATAATGCATTTAGTTTTAATATTTTAGAAGTGTAATATATTTTGATCCTCAATGCATGAAACCTCAATTATTCAATTTATTTCCTGAATTGGCTCTTTGATCTCAATTTATTTTCTAAATTTTGGTCCTTTTTTGTGAACAAATAACAAAATTAATAAACCAACAAAATTTAGTTCAAATAATAAAATAGTTATGAAAATTCATTTATTATAAATACCAATTTTAACTCACTCTTTCTATAACCTTAAATCTCCAATATATTTAAGAATTATGTATAATAGTAACATATCCAACCCAGAGTGGGACTCAACAGAGGTAATAATCGAGCACGAAACTTTGGAAAACTAAAATCCTAGAGAGAGCATCTAAAAATATAAACAAACAAATGCTTAAATAATGGTAAAATTTTTAAAAATATTATCTATTTTATCAGAAGTAAGACAAGTATGATAAATATAATCATTAACACAGAGTTGATCTCTCGTGTGTACAGATTCTTTATATCAAATCACATAAAAATATAAATATAGATCTCCTCCTCATTCTTCATATATCTTTAATTACAATTATCAATTTTCATCATATTAGAGTCAAATTGATTCAAAGTAGCAATTTGTAGACATGTGCTAAGTTTCCTAACTGGGGAGAGAAATGTCTTCTTATTCTCAACTAACTTTTAGACAACAAATAGTCAACTGAAAAAGGAGGCAATAACCAAAGAAAAAGAGAAATAGCAACAGATATTTTTTAGTGAACACATAGTAAAGATTTAATTGAGTGAGAAATCAATATCGCGGTGGCATTGTGTAACAATCCAGCTCACTGGTAAATATTATTTATTTTGGGTCAAGGTCTTTACGGTTTTAAAATGTATCTATTAGTGATTAAAGCATGCACACCTATAAGCTTAATATTTTTCTCGTGTTTTGTTGAAGTGAGATTTGCCTAAAATGTTACGTACACCCCCATTTGGCACTCAACGTCCTTGTTGAAATTTGTCCCACCACCATTCAAAATTATACGCGGAGTGACTTTGATATCATTTTGTAATGACCTGAGAGCTATTAACTTGAATAACTTATTGAATCTGAACTAGTGATCTAAAATGCTTAAACCCAAATTATTTAGTAATAATCTCTAATTTTTTATATACCATGTCATATTACTCTCAAAAATGATAAACGAAATGTCACATGTTGAGAGTGTCAACGTCATACAACAATAGGTGACCGAGCGGAGTTGCTTAGAAGGGCAAGGAGAAAGGAAGGTTAGAGTTGTGAAAATGACACAATCTCTAATTTCTCAGTTGATGTTTTTCTAAATTAATTTCTAAAAATATCAATTTAGTAAGGATGTTAAAAAAAACTATTCATTTTATTAGAAATATTTTTAGATATTATTCTTAGAAATTAGGATAATTACAAATAGATATAAAAAAATTTATCTTGATCATATAAGTGTCTATAAATTTATATGTAATATGTAACATTAAGAGAGAGTTGAATATTATAACATTATAATTATTATCTTCGGTTCATTGTACTAAAAGCACATTAAACTTTGAATTTCTTTTTTAACTCTTTCATGTCTCTAATCACAGTTTTCAGTTTTGTAATAAAAATTACAAATATCATCTCCTTTCAGGTGAATAAATTGAGACTTTTATATCAAAATTTGAACATATTATATTTTTTAAATGCTAAAAATTAAATGTGGTACAATTAAAATTATGAGATTAAAATAAAATTTGGATAAAATTAGATAGACCAAAGTATACTTGTCCCCAGATATAAATCTTATGCTGATAACACTAGACAATGTACGTGGGCTAGTCAAACATCTTTATCTCTTCTTTAGTTTTATGATTATCAGACTTAAACCGAGTTTCTCTACCCACTTAAAAGAATTATATGTGGTTAATCATATATTAAATATGGTTAATTTCACATAATGCTAGATTAATTGAATTTGGAATGTCAATTCTTGCACATGATTAGGATAAAATGATGTGCTAGCATTAGTCTGGCACTTACCTAACTTGTATTAATCCAGAAATTTTAAACTTAGAGAGGGATGGTTCTCGAGTTTAGGTTAAGAATTTGTAATCTTATGACCCAAATT